GTACAAATATCGGAGCTGTTGCCTCGCTGACGGTTTGTTCAGGTAATGGATTTGGGTGGGACTGTGCTAGGTTTAGTAAATAAATGTTATAACAAATCAGAATGAACTCAATATAATAGAGTATTTTTTTAGATTTTTCAGTAATATTTGTACATTGATAATAAATAATGTAATAGGCCTATTTAATTGGTTCGAATGTATTATAAAATTATTGAAAAAAATTATTAATGTGAGAAAGCTTAATACCCGAATTGATATAATATCATAACATTTTCTTACCTATTTTAAATTAAAAAAAGAAAATAGTCTTATATGTGTTCTTTAAATCAACCTTTCTTCAAAAAAGTAAGTTCTTTAAATCAACCTTCAAAATTCTAAAAAGTATTTAAAAGTTCAAAAATTTGTTATATTAAGACAATTTTCTGTTATTTTAAATAATTTAACATAGAAATTATAGTACTGAAAATATAATGTTATTTTATAATTTTATCAAATAACAATTTGTGACATGGTATAAATTAACTATGTAAAAGTTGTTATGTTGGTTCGTGCTAAATTACGATAGTAAGTTGTATTATCTTAACATTTTCAAACATAAGTCCTTTTATGTAGTGTGTGACTTTGAAGATAACGTTTCCGTTTTGTTAATGAAAAAGCACCGTGAATTTAAATTATACTATAGGATATATTTTTACTATTATTTTTATTTATTATTTATTATTTTTTTATTTTTATCAGGCCTAATTGGGTATAAAATTATAAATTTTCTGCTCTAAAATCAAACAAAAAGCACTCTTTACATGGCGTACATAGGTTTTACATCTTATTCAACAGTTTGTAGTTTTGGGCGAATTTAAGGCCTAAATAGGTTAAACATGATTTTATTATGCAAGACTGCTATATTCTTTTATTATTTAACTAAACAAGTAGGGTACGTATATTAAATTTATTTTAATACGCCACTAAACTAAATACATAAGTTGTGTACATACTAAGTGTAATAGCAGTAGTGTCTCTGCATCAATAAAGTTGAAATTATTGAAAGTATAAAATGTTTTCTTACAATAAATTTCTATAAAATACCTTAACGGATGTACTGTACAAACATTTGAATAACTATCGTATAAATTTTATAGTGATTTACCAATTGTTGTAAACGATTGCATAGTTATTTATTTAATTACAATTGTAGCTTGTTACTAGCACTATACGACGAAGTTGTCTGTTTGAATCTAAAAGAAGAAGTAAAAAATAAAATAGCCACTAAACTCCGTTAAAAAAATATGTTTTTGGATTATAAGATAAATGTAATTGGAAGTTTTTCTTAATTCATTAATTGTCTTAGTTGTCTATTTATAAATTATCAAATTTGTTTAACTTACATAAAGGTTTTATAAAACTATGTCGTACTTGTCAAGATGAAAATGATTAGGCTGCGATTTTTTTATAGTTGTGTTTACGTTTAAATATTTATCAAAACATATTATTTGTTGGATATAAAGTTAACCTAATGTAAAAGGCCACGTATTTATTTGAACTGTATTTGCTTTAGGCCTATATGACTTATTCCAAATATTATATTATTATATTATATTGCTTGCGTTGTTTGTTAAAACTTTCATAAAAATATCAAATCAAAGGTCCTTCATCAAACTATGTTCTACTAGAACATTTTAACAGGGTTTTTTTTACATTATACACATGTCATTCGACATTAGTACATTATTTTTTATTAGAAAAACTATTTACTGTTGACAACTTTATTTTTTTAATTCTATATATTAATGCAAATTAATACAAAACGTTATTTATTCCATCAGACTTCTGTTTAGAAGTCGTCAACTTATCTAAATAGAAGTTGTAAGTCTAACAAAATATCTTTCCAAATAAGCAACAAGTATTTCATCACCTGACAGGTAATATACTTAAGGTAATCTATTTGCCTAACTTTGACGCTACATGAAGTAACTTTCAATAAAACAACGCAAATTGACTGATAGCTTTTAGTCTTCCCTGTGCAAATGTGTTCCTTCATTTCCCTTAACGAAATATTAGATGATTATACATTTTGTAGCTAATAGTATTGGTTTTTAATATTAGAACAGCTTGAATACAACGTGAAAATATATTATACTGTATAGAAGGAATTATTTATAATGTTTGAGTAATTTCGTGTTCTATAACAAAACAAAAAAATATAGATTTTTTATTTGTAATAATTTATTATGATAAGTGTAAGCTTGTGTAAACTATATTTTATTATATTTACGGAAACTGTTTAAATTTTGTTTTTATTTTATTTTATTTTATTTATCTTCCAACAGTCAAGAACGAATTTACAATTGGCTAAGTAATTCCTTAACGATAGAAAAAGCCACATTTAATAGCTTATTAAGCTATCACTGCAGTTTGTTAAAAAGGCTTTTGTTAGTTATTACATTATTACAGTATTGGTGTTAGCTTAAAATTTTATATTACATATTCTGATTATTATTGTCCCACTATTATTTTGTTACTTATTTTTTAACGTTGAAATATAATTTTTGATCACAAGAATTGCAATTTTCTAGTTCATACCAGTCAATGATTTTGAAGTGTATAAAAGTTATTTAACGATTTGTTTTTATTACCATCCCAGTTATTGTTATTATACACACGTTTTAGATTGTTGTCCAGTTACAATGAATTAAACTTTTAATGGAAAGATCCTGATTGAATTAAAAAAAGAATAAGTTGGAGAATATTACTGGTGTGAATTACTTTGATAAAAGCCCAGTGCATTGTCATGGTTTGTTTATTATTCTTTTTAACTTTTATACTTTACATTATTTTCTAATGGGTTAATTAAGATTTGAGTACTTTGTTCTTCATTCAAACTGTTGAACTTGAACCTTTTAATAGTTATGTAACTAGTTGTACCTGGTTGACAGCCCAATTATAGCATATTGAGTATTGGTGTAAACAATATTAAATTATTATTTTTATAAAATATAAAATTATATTACATTATTGTTATTGTTCTATAAAAAACTATCAATTTACCTGGTTTTAAAATTATTAAGAATCAATGTCTATGTAATAAAATCATTACTTAGGATATTTCATTCATTGACATTGCTTGAAGTACTATAACTACAATCTACTGTCTGCCATCTGTACATACAAATTATTTGTTGTATTAATTTTGTTAATAATCTGTTTACATTTCTTTGTTTAATTTTCTCAGTTCTTTCTAAACCATGTTAAATAAACTATAAACAGAATTGTATATTTTTATTTAGGTAAGATTGATCAATATTACTGATCATTATTAACACACATGAATATTTTATGCTAAGCCTGTGGCTCTGAGTATGTGAGATGTAGTTAAAATCCGTTTTATAAGTTATTTCATAAAAATTAGTGTAACTTACTTGTAACCCATTTTACTTGAATTAGAAAGAAATAAAGAAAACAAAAATACATACATATATTTATACTACCTAAACCTTGCCTACAGGTATGAGTGTGGTTTTTTTTTAAGTTTTCCTTTTTGCTTTTTCTCTGCTTTGTTAATTTTTATATTTTTTTTTCTCCGCTGCATGTTTTACAGTTTTGTTTGCAGTTTTTTATTTATTTATCTATTATGCATGGTGTGCTCTTTGGACATTTGTATGTGCTCTTTGGACATTGTTTTGTGAATCAAGAGGAATGCATCTCTGTTTTGTATTTTAGTTTAGTGTTAGTGACTTGGCCAATTGTTATAAACTGAACGGCTCAATAAATCTTGAATCTTGAATCTACTTCCGATTAAAGTAACCAATGCAAATTATTGATATTATAAAGCATTAAAAAACATTTTTTGTGAAAATACGGCGGGTGATTGTTTGCTACATTCGTGGGGTTTCGTATTTTAACATAAAAAATTACTTCAGATCGAATGACAGTTATTTTGGGAGAATTCTAGTAAGGGTTAGCCTTCACATCTGTAATCTGTATACTATAAGGGTGGGTTAGGTTCGAAGTAGCATATTGTAGGCTATATTTAAGAAAAAATTTAATAAACCTTGTCAAGACCATTATCTTTATACCTATTCATAGTTCAATTTCATTATTCTTCAAGTTTATAGTTTACGAATTTAATTCGAATTAAACGTTGGTAGCAACTGTGATTTTGCTTAGATTAAGTATCTAAGGGCTGTTTATAACGAAAATTGTCTAATACAAAATTTGTTTCAGCACGATGAGGGAATAATGAATATTAGGGATTAAATTTATACATAGCATCGCTTAAAGCTAATTACAGCTGCTTGTTGGTCCGGTACAATTTTCAAACCATGTTTGTCAAATGTTTAACGGTGTCCTTGTTTTCTTATGCGCGGTGTTAACGGGCCGTATTATTTAACTAAATTCAAGGGTATCACATCTAGTGCTATTTTACCCTGGCAACATGAACCAAAGAAGTTTCTGACAACAAATATAAGTCATGTATTGTGTATTTACTTCGTCTATACATTCATCGTTTGATCATAATTTTTATTAAGTCCATATTTTAAGCAATAATTTTATTGTCTATTGTTTTCATTGAACTTTTTGGCATATTACTTTATCCTTGATTTACATTTTATATCAAAGGAATTTTTTAGCCTAAATTTAGGAAATTTTACCCAGCGTACGCATACTTATGCATAATGACAATAGTGTCTTGTTTATGATGTGATAATAGTCAACGCAGGAAGTTAATATGTCATTTATATATTTTGCCGATTCATCTTAGGCTGAATTGTTGTGTTAAAAGTTAATTATATTTTTAAAGTGTAACTTACCACCTAACAATTTTAATCCAATATAGGCCTAACCCACTAGGGATGAGTCTATTGTATATGTACTGTTTTTTTTTTAATAATAGGTTATTTATACGGTATAAAAATAATAAAATAGATGCAGATAATCTTTTGTATATGGGTTTTTTTTAAACGTAGTTCCTAATGTATTTCACCTAGTAAGACTGTGAGAGTTACCTGGTCTGGTCGACGACTCCTGGTTGCATCCATGCCCTCGCCGCGGCCAGCTGACTCGTAGACAACGGTTCCTCCTTGAGACCCGTGACTGGCCCCCGTGGCTGGTGGTGGTGATGGTGATGGTGGTGGAGACCCGCCGCGGGGTCCTGATGGTGATGGTGCAAGCCGAACATCGGCCTCGGGGGAGCGTACAACTTGCGACCCCACGCGACCACAGGCTCTAGGTCCAGCGGCCAAGCGGCCGGCGAGTATCCGCACTCCACCGCGGGGCACTAGCGAACCCCCGTCCGGCCCATACCCGAATATTATCGCGGGAAATCGAATAAACTACGGTAACGGGTAGATGTCGTAACGGCGCGGTCTCGAGAGTGTATGTCCCCCGTGAGCGACTGATAAGCGATCGCCCGGTGTGCGCGCAGCGGCCCCTCCTCCTCATTGGCCCCGCCCCTCCGCCAATCACAAGGGACGTGACCAGCCAATAGGGACGCGTGACGTCACAGTAGCCACGCTTGGCCGCCGCCCGCGTGCATCTCGCTCGCAGCTCAGAGCGTCGCCACCCGTCGAGCGACGCTGTGTCCGCCGCCGTCACCTTCACGCTCCACGAGCGTCGCGGCGCGGCACGATATCTCCGCAATGCTTGCATAAAAAAAAATGGTCTAGCCAATTATTGGGGTTGGAAAAGGAATACTTTCATGTAATTTGTATAAGTAAAATTATGACAGATTTTAAGAGTTGGTAAAAAATTCATTCTTCTTGCATTCTTTTAACTTAATTTGTCCAATATAATTTAAGTCTGTATACTTATATAGGCTACGACCAAATCTAAAAAAAACACTAATTTTCTAAATTTGAATAGGATGAGTAGTTTTTAAAAATAAGCAAGCCCGTAATTGGCAACAGGAAGTTTAAAAACAATACCTCTGCTACCCTTGCACAAATTAAAGGGTAGCTGCGTAGGGGAAGATTTGACTGTTCATATTATTTGTTTATACAAAATTTAATTCCGTTATACACTAAAAACATTAGCCGTGAATATTTAATTACTATACAGGGTGGAACGAATTTAGTGTTAAACATTTTTATGTGAAAAACTACATACTGTAGTATTGGTGACATAACGCTACTTAGGCCTATTTAGATTTCCATACCCTCACAGGTAGGGAATAATAGACAAATGAATATTTAAAAAAATTTTGTATTTGCTTACATTACAAGTTTTTGCATTTTTCTCAAACATCACAAATTCAAACTTAAATTACAGAATAAAGGCTCATGGACTTACAGATATTTCATCTCAATGACTCTGTGCTGTTACTATTCTAAATTTAATGAGCGTAATAAATAAAAAAAACAATTTTTAGTACACTTATGGCCATTTTATGTAAGAAAATACATTTTTTATTAAACAAACTTATTTCATTTCATTTCATTTTTATTTTCCACGGCAATGCCAACTTACAAAATACAATCAGTTAAGATTATTATAAGATTATATAAATACAAAACATTATATTACAACAAAACAACATTTCATCAGCAAATGCATAAATAACTTACAAGCAATCAACAATAACAGCCATAAAACTATGACATAACAATAACAATAACAATGCAGAATGACTATGAATAACAATAACAAGGCATACGAATATTAATAACGATAACAATGATAATAAAATGTATGTCTGAATCTTTTGGTAGGATGTCTGAGTATTAACTGTATTCTAATGTTATTAATTTGTCTATTATGCCCTACCTGTGTGGTTATGGATATCTAAATAAGTGGCCTTATTTCACCAATACTAAGTAGTTCAAATACAATTTTTTAACACTAACTTCGATCCACACTGTATTCATTTCATTTCATTTAATTCAACGGCAAATTGCCAATTTATACAGGCAACAGTTCAAAATTGACATGATTATTGTGCAACAAATTTCACAATCAAGAGCAAAGAACAATATGCTTCACAATACAACAAATTGAAACAATAAAATGATCAGTCAACAAGAAATATAAAGCTATGTACTGTATAAGCCAACTCCGCATGTAGTAAAAGGTTACATTTGTGTGTACGCATGGTGAACTCCTTATAAATAAATCTGTTGACTGAGAAATAGATTTTCTACCATGCAATACATATTAATAATCGCCATTATTACACTAACATAATTTGTTAAGTATTTGAACAGAAATATTTTCCATCAGCAAATCCTTTGTCGCTACAAGTCCACTTCAATTTGACGACGATTATTAAAAGAGAAAACACAGTGCTCAATATTTCGAAGATAAAACTTCCGCAAGAAATTACAATGACGAGAACTCATCACCATTAGTTCTTCAAATATCGGTGAAATCATCAATACTTATTGACAATCGGGAAAAGAACAGTTCTTCAATAACAATGGAACTTTGAAGCCCATTGTTCTTGAGATAAATTCTAGATTCAGTGACTTTGGAAAGCAAAAATATTCCAGTTCAGATATTCTCTCATCCATTTACATGAAGCAATGATATGCATACAATACTCGATAAATAAGGGTTAACAACACAAATGTAAGCGATAATATAACATTATCATCAAGTTAAAAACAAACAAACAATTGAGGCAATTTTATATTCAGAATGATTTTGTATTTTACCATAATATTATATTCAAGGCTTCATACTTATGTGTTTGGTTTTGGAAAACCGCAACAACATTTTAAAACTAATGAATGCTGAGAAAATAATGTAAATAAATACTCCGTTTCAAAATAGGCTTCATATGCTAATAAGCGTGTCATAACATATAAGATAAAGAGGCTAGGTCTTAGTTGATGTATAATGATTCTCCATCAGTTAGACCTACATCATACAGATTTCAATAGTAATGTAGTATTCCTTAATTTCAGACATGACCATTTCGAAAGTTAAACCTCTGAAAACACACACACGAATACAAATCATTAAAATCTTAGTTTGAATCCTAAGATTCGCAAGATCAACTGCTTCAGAAAACTCGAATCTTTTTCTATTTATTAACTATAAGGAGATTATATAGGATTGATTTCGTAACAGAGAAAGTCCGTGAAACCAGTTATGTTGAGCGATCACGTTCAATTTTTATTAGGTTATAAATTAATAAAACTTCTATGGATGAAATAAACTATCATTGAACAAATATTAAATAAAAATATGAGTTGGCCGAGTACGATAAGTTTTCTTGCACTGTTTAAAGTTAATTGTATTCATAGCCTTACGAGCATTGATTTGACAATATGCTGACTAGTTAAATCCCTTATTTAAATTGCTTGCTTTAAACTCCCTTTTGCTGAAGATTTATATTATTTTTATTATTATTATTTTTTAATTAGGGATGGTCTGGTGAGCAATGCTATACTTAATGCAACAACAATCTAAAAATGAAGACGTGTTTAGTTTTTTCGATGTGTTTTGTGTAAAATGAAAAATTCTTCTGACGACACCTTGAAAATAGGTATTTTTTAGCTTTACTGTGGTGAAGCTTTAAAAATAACCGATGAAACATATACAGCAAGCTTTATTACATTCTACCCACATGTTAAATATTAATAGTTTGAAGAGGTACGTTTTGGCCATTTGTCATTTTATTCAACCCTGGGGCTATACAAATAAATTAACATGAATTAAAACTAGCTGATGGTAAACAAAACATTAAAAATGGTGATGTGAGATTCTTTAGAAGGGAATGACATTTCGGAACGTAGATGAACACAAGAAAACATGCCTCCTAGATCATTATAAAAAAATACTTTGCCAACAATCAGTTCAAGCCATTTAGTAAATATGATCAAATGAACACTGGATATTAGTTAAAATTTAGCCCCTTGATAGTTGGTTTGTAATAGGTTCAAATTAATCCCTAAAATGAGGTAAAATCTGTTTCGTTAAATTCTAACATCAATAATGAGAACTAAGATCTCAAATTCAAATCCTCTTGTAAACATAATTTGAATTGTTTGGATATTTTTTACTGTCAAATTTTATTCAGCATTTTCCTCTGTATCTAGTCGATTCGTCAGTAATAAGTAAAACAGGTACAACATAACAATCCTTCTGGTTAACATCGTTAGTAACTTACCAATGGCTTGTAGAATATGTCTATTGACTGATATCCGTAGGTGGTGCAGAAAAATATAACTGAAAAGTATACGAAATTGAACTGGGCCCAATTAAATCATCGGTCATTTGAAAATAAGAACAAATAAAATTAATTTTTAGTTCAGGTAACATGTGTTGGATTCAATATAAACTGTAAAGAATCTTTGCACAGGGAATCATCCACAAGTATATTTTTTTATATTTTGTATTTGTAATAGCATAACACTTATAATATGCTTGCATTTCTTTATGTGGCTTTTAGTTGCATTTAGTTTAGTTTACAATTAGTTTTAGTGACTTTTATTGCCTTGAACTTTTTGTATTTTTTGCAATACAAGAGTTCTTATTCTGATTTTATAATATGTGACAGTGATTAAAGATGTTATTAGCCATTTTAAAACTTACTGAATGTGGACATTATTAATGATATTTGATACCTCTAGTACAGCTAAGTGACCTAGAAATTAATAAAGCTCCGAGGGTTGATTAAATGTTTGTCTTAGTTAAAAATGACTTATGAAAAAACTACTTTAAAAAATGATTTATTTAACGCTGATTTGATAAATTTCAATTCAAATCTCATACAACACCCCAATGTTTGTGTAATATTGTTATTGTCAATTTTATAATAATGTCAAAAATATAAACTACAGTTCAACAATATTTAATTTTGACTTGGTAAAATAATTTATTTTGTAAAAACATCCATTATTTTTGTATATTAGTCTTTTATGATCTTACTGTTTGCGTAAGAAACACAAATAGATTACACATAATTTTTTCACTAGTATCAGGTAGTTTGACGGACAAGTTTATTTAACACTAAGATCAGACACCTGTATAGTTTCTAAGGTTAACAAGATGGCTTGACCACACTTGGATCCATATTTATCTCTAAATTTTGGGAATATGTTAAAACCCCAATAAAATACCATTACCACTGACAATTCATTCTTTGTATCCAATATTTACATTTACAAGTAAACTCACAAAGACGAGTAAAAAATATTGCAAAAAATTTGCAAATCCAAGTTTAACTGCTAATGGCTTACACGATGTTCGATGAAGGGACATGAAAGTGATAAATTAGTCTTGGATAAAACGAATTAGGGAGCTTGATAAACAGAAGCCGTTATACAAGAGCGATGCTCCAGGAAAAACACAGAGCACTGGAATTGAAGGGAGAACAGCACATAAATTGTAAGACTGACGCTCGAGTTAAGAGTTTGGTCTACATAAATTTCACACAGCAATTTGTAATTAGGCGGCACTTCTTTCTCGGGACCCGATAAAAA